CAATCAGTCCTTGAGTCGTGATGAATCAGAGATCTGTGTATTTCAGTCTTCCGCTGCATTGTTATTGCTGTTTCTCCTTCGGTCACTTCTCCGGTTCTGCGCCATGCCGTTCTGACGTGTAGGCATGCGACCGAGAGTCTTCTTCTCTTCTGCTAAGTTCACCCATCATCCTCACAATTGTCAGTATCGGTTACGTCAAAGAAAGGTCTTGAAGTTCTCAACATTCTATTTCCGTGACGGTTATGGGTCTTGGAGAGAAATTGTCCGGCTGTGACATTCACGTTGTCGCTCTCTTCTTCGGGTTTATCCCACCTTTCACCTCCATCTCCCAGCTCCATCATCCATGCTTCTCTCCCCATGTCTGTGTGTGCAAGGAGGGAGGGACCTTTCTTCTATGTATGTTTCCCCTCCTTGCTTCTTGGCATGATGATGATGATGATGATGTGTGTGTGTCGCCCTCAAGTAGGATGAGTCAGATTGCTTTTTTTTTTTTCTTTTTTTTCTTTTTTTTAGGTTCTCAACTTACGATTCTTGCATTGTATGTAGATGTTCCTTCATCTTCTTCGTCATCTTCTTCTTCGTCTTCTTCTTCTTCGTCTTCTTCTTCTTCTTCGTCGTCCTCTTCGTCTTGTTCGTCTTGTTCGTCTTCTTTGTCTTCTTCTTCTTCATCTTCATCATCATCTTCTGATGCGGTTATTCTTGGATATGTGCGTCAGACTCATATATAGAAAGGATGCGTGCAGAGCCAGTGTACGTTTTCCTGACCTGATCTATCACACAAGACGATTGCACGTACGTGGCCAGCTTGTCAGTCCAGATATTACATGGAGAAGGTAGAGTACTAGAGTGAGTCCCAGGACACGAGATGCTCAGAATAGTGGGCATTTTTGCTGAGTGAAAAAAGAAACCCTCAGTTTTGCATTGAGCCTCTCTGCTCGACACCTTGATCACACACACACATTGAGAGATCACACGAAATCAACACTGGGGTCCAGAGGTGCAAAGTCCAGAATAGCGCAGCTTAGAGATTACAACAAATTATCATTTTAAACAGTATCGGAGTTCCAGTCCGAGCGCTGAACAGAACAGATTTCAGCAACCAAATACCAGCATCTTCATCTAAGGTAGGTCTCTCTCTCTCTCTCTCTCTCTCTCTCTCTCTCTCTCTCTCTCTCTCTCTCTCTCTCTCTCTCTCTCTCTCTCTCT